CTTCTTTTATGCTGAATATGTTCCATCATGTGAATATGCTATGGTCTTATGATGGATACCTAGGCTGTTTTAATGGCAACTTCCTATTATTATTGCTATTAATTACCTCCTTTATATATGATGAAATAATACCTCCTTTTAATATTCCTTTACCCTAAGTAATTAACATTATAGCGTAATAAATTCTTGTGACGGGATTTTTTTTTCCCTTTTGAGACAGTCTCACTGTTTTGCCCAGTCTGGAGTACAGTGGCTCAATCACGGCTCACTGAGCGATGACTTCATGGGCTCAAGCAATTCTCCTATTGAGCTGAGCCTCCTGTGTAGCTGGGACTACAGACACCATGCCCAGCTAATTTTTTGTATTTTTTCTAGAGATGGGGTTTTGCCATGTTCCCCAGGCTGGTCTCGAACTTGCCTGTTTTGGCCTCCCAAAATGATGTAGCTGTGGGCATGAGCCACCACACTGAGTCAGATTTTTTTAAAGTAGTATATTTAAAATTCTTCTCAATTTCATGACAGATTAGCAACACCATTTTTCCCTACCCTAGAACTTTGCCAGTGAAAGAGGTACTTTAGTTGTTGATTTTAAGTGTGTATCACACATACTGGTGTGTGGTTTTCTTTTTAATGCTTGTGAGTAAATTGTCCTGCAAGGAGTCATAGGCTTCCATGCTAGGTATATCTTGAGATAATAGACTCTCTCCCTATCTTATTCCTAAGTTTTTGAAACAACATTGTCATTTCACTGTGGACAGAGAAGTAAAAGAAGGAGGCATTGTGTAATTTCTGGTGGTTGCAGGTAGCGGAGTTCTCACTATGGCAACCTGCTAAAGTAGTAGCAGCAAAAGGTAGAAGATAGTACAGAGGAGATGGGGTCATTACAGGTTATTTGTAGTTGAAGTCAATCTCTACTACAATTGTAAATTGATACCCACATTTTTTGCAGAGAGAAATTCAGGTCCACCTGTTTGCAGTATTTCATTTGCTATTAGGCAGTACCATATCATATACCATATGTGTTTGATGGAATGACAGATGACAGCTCTTACAGATTTAAATATACCAGCTTTGCCATGTTTTATTTACTGTATGTATATTATAGATACTTTGTATTTGATCTCAAAACACTGTAAGAACATCAAGACTCATTTTATAATAGAATACCCTCCGTCCCTCCCTTTTTTTTTTTTTTTTCGGACAGTTTTGCTCCAGCTCAGGCTGGAGTACAGTGGCGCTATCTTGTCTCACTGCAACCTCCACCTCCCAGGTTCAAGTGATTCTCCTGCCTCAGCCTCCCACGTCGCTGGGATTACAGGCACATGCACCACCACACCCCACAAATTTTTTGTATTTTTAGTAGAGACGGGGTTTCACCATGTTGACCAGGCTTGTCTCAAACTCTTGACCTCAGGTGATCTGCCCTCCTCAGCCTCCCACAGTACTGAAATTATAGGCGTGAGCCACCGTGCCTGGCCAGAATCTCTTCTCTTTTCTTTAATTTTGTGAAATAGAGGGGGAAAAATCTAATTTTAAAAATTCTCCATGGTTTAAGGACAAGTTACTAAGGAAATCAAAGAAGCATTTCATACGTTAAGATGTGCTTTCTGTATTTTCCAGAAGGTATGAAAGTAATACCACTTAATAGGTTAGCTGCTACCCTGCACTTTCAAAGCACTTTAGAGTCATTCATCTGTCTGAGGTAGGACAGTGTTAGCACCCTTGGATAATAGATGAGAACTCTTTTTCCCCTTGTATTTTACTGTATTTGAGTTCCAGAATTTATTCAGAGCTCTCCAGTATTTGTGGCTTCTGGTGGCCTAACAAAGATTCCTTTTAACAATGGCTCTCCCTCACCAATCTCCTGAATACCTCCTGGGATATTTTTCCAGAAGAGTTTTAAAATTAGAAACAAAAAATTGTCATGTTTTGTGGTAGCAATAAAAATAAATTTACCTTGAAAATTTATGAGATATTATCACTTGTGGAAAAAGATAATTATATAGACAAATAGGTAAAATATTTCATAAACACAGATAAAGTTGTAGCAGATATAGCTTTAATGCACACCTAATTCACGGTTTTCCTTCTGGAGGAGAGATTATGGAATCCTTTACCTAAAATAATTTACTAATTGTATTGTGTTGGTTTAGGTGTGTTTGTGGTTAACAAAGAGAAAGTAAAGAAACTACAGGTGTTTATTTCCTGATATCATAATGATAAGGATAGCATCTCTGCCAAGTACTGGTTGTGTTAATGAATCATCTTAAATTAGAGCATGTTTAGAGGAACTTTATAATTTGAAGAAGTAGAAGGTATCACAGACTCCTCATTTTGCTGGTTTTTGTTCACCTAAATATAGAGCATCTTGAAGGTTAAAATTCCAAATCCTGATTTGTTTTATCTGTGTTTATTTACACGTATGTTTAATCCTACTCTTGTTTTTGAGCTTTTTAATAGTGCATAGAATATTAATCATTAGGTGATCTTAATGTAGATCTCTTCAGTGCTTCTACTGAAAGTCATTGTCAGAGAATTCATTCTAATTCAAGGTTAATTAGTGTACCATTAAAATAATGTGTTACAAGAATTAATTGCATTGCGGGTCAGAAAACGTGTTAAAAAGCATGGCGTAAATGTCTGAGAGCACACCATCCTTCTTAAAACATTGCTAAACATGTGCCACCCTTCTGGAAAGTATATCCAAAGTGGAAATCACTATGGAGGTCCAGTCATAGGTGTTCCCCCTAAAGTAAATTTTTGGCACCACATGGAAAATTTTAAATATAACTCCCATTAACAGTAAAATGTGTTGCTTGTCAGCTTTACCATTGTGAAACAGCTCAGGATTTATATTATAGCTTTAATATAATATTGGGTCAAACCTAAGGAAAATTCAGGAACATGGTCGAGAGATGGAAATTATTTATACATTTTATGGTAAAAGTACAAAACATAGTATGTTGTCCTACTTAACTAGTATGTAGTGTTTGTAAGTACCCTGTGTAAATATATCATACATCATCTTAACTGTGTAGTAATTCTTGTCAATAGTTTAACCTGGTAGCCATAAAATGCACACTTAAAATTAGAACTAAAAATGATAGACTTTGAAATATTATCTGATTCTTTTAATGTATTAATAAATGTTATGAAACAATGGCATGGACCTGTAGAATATTTTATTTGTTAGAATTTGTTGAGAGTCATTAAAATATCTAATTGTTCATATGGAGGACTTTTGAATTAGAGCCCTAGTAACAGCAGGTCACATTGGAGCTACAAAAATTTTAACATAGGAAACTGTGCTCTAGTACTCAACTATACATTTTCACCTGTACTCTTAGAATTGTCTCCACTAAAAAATAACTGCTGGTGGGCTCTGAACAAGATAAAATAGTTTCAATACTACAACAAATTGTGAATGATTTGCCCACATTTTAAAATTCTCTGCTTCCCTCCCTCTTAGGATTTTGCTTAAGCCTATTAGAAAACAGATATTCACAGGTAAATAATAGTAAATCAAGCAAATGAAAGCAAAAGAGGACAATTTGTTGGGAAGAAGTCTTCCTACTCTGTTTTTCGTTTGAAGAATAGATCCTGCTTTAATTAGTTGAACTAATAGGTGTGTGAAGAGAGTCTGAATGATAAAAACAATGTAGGCAGTTTTAGAAAAGCTTTCTTGAAAGGTGCTTTCTGCTTTAAAGCAATCCTTGCCCCAGCTTGTATCTATTTAAAATCTTTTCTAAAAGGACATAAAGCAGGAATTTCAACTTAATGTGGAAAAACATCCCATTCTTTATAAATCACAAACATGATTTCCACCTTCAGAAAGTAGTAAGCCATACATCACTCATTTAGTCAGAAAAGCCCTTAGCTTTGGGGGTTTTGTTTATTCTTCTGAGCAAAGTAGGCTTTTTTTTTTTCCCATTAACTAGAACAAGATTTTCTGGCAGTAGAGAATAGAAATAATACATGTAGTAACTGTGAGTCTTTGGTAGACAAGTGTTAAAATTAATATTTCATATTGAACAGTTTATCTCCTAATAGTTAATCATCCATTCCCTTTTGCAAGTGGCTTTCACAGTCAACTGTTAGATAATAGACACTAATAGATTGTGCTAGTGTTTTTGAGGTATTTCAGAGTGCAAACTTGGCAATAATGAGAAATGCTTATTTTCAAACTGTTTAATCTTTTTAAGGAATAAATTTGAGGAAATTTAGATATAGTACATTTAGATTATAATTTCCACCTAGGTTTAAGTTCTTGCTCTTTTATTCATATGATTATTTTCCAGAAGAAAGAAGAAATGGACATAATCCTTAAGAAAACCATGTATTTTAAAAGTACTGTTTACAAAGCATTTTCTTATAGTTCATTCATTCAGTAGATATTATTGATATTATTATTGTTACTGCTATCATTAGCTCCACTCTGTAAGTGATTGAGCTGAAAGCAATTACTGGGCTAGTACATAATAGACCCAGAAGTAGATCTCGGGGCTTCCCATTAATTGACTGATTTTTGTTGTTTTTGTTGTTGTTGTTGTTTTGAGATGGAGTTTTGCTCTGTCACCCAGGCTGGAATGCAATGGCACGATCTCAGCTCACTGCAACCTCTGCTTCCCAGGTTCAAGTGATTCTCCTGCCTCAGCCTCCCAAGTAGATAGGATTACAAGCACCCACCACCATGCCCCCACTAATTTTTATATTTTTAGCAGAAACAGGGTTTCACTATGTTGGCCAGGCTGGTCTTGAACTCCTGACCTCAGGTGATCCACCCACCTCAGCCTCCCATAGCACTGGGATTACAGGAATGAGCCACTGTGCCTGGCCCCATTGTTTATTGCTTTTCCCATAGTGCATTTTTATATCAGGCATTCTTAGAATAATTAACCCATTATTTTACATATTTCCTTGTCTTTCTTTAAAACACTGTATCTTTTACATGACCCTACAACTGATACAACAAATTCATTTATCTTATTCTGTGTTTTTAGGGTAGGGCTCTGCTTCATTGGGCCTGTGATCGAGGACATAAGGATCTAGTCACAGTCTTGCTACAACATAGAGCTGACATTAACTGTCAGGTAAGAGTGATAAAGAAGAGCTTTTATTTTTTTAATTGAAGTATAATTCACATAGCATAAAATTTACCAGATTAACTGTTGTGAAATGTGCAATTCAATGGCATTTAGTGCAATTCACAGTGTGTGTAATTATTGCTGCTATAGAGTTCTATAATACTGTCATCACCGCAAAAGGAAACCCTATTCCCATTAAGCAGTCACTTTATATTTCTCGCCTCACCCCAGACCTTGGCAACCGCTAATCTGCTTTTTGTTTCTATAGATTTGCCTATTCTGGATATTTTATATAAATGGAATCATAAAATTTACAGGTTTTTTGTGTTTGACTTCTTTTACTTAGCATAATGTTTTGAAGGTGTATCCATATTTTAGCATATAACAGTACCTCATTCCTTTTTGTGGCTGAATGTTTTGCGTATCCTATGTGTTGTTTATCTATTCATCAATTGATGGACAGTTTGGGTTGTTTCTGCCTTTTGGCAGTTGTGAATAATCCTGCTGTGAACATTTGTGTACTTGCATTTTTGTTTGAATACCTGTTGTCCTTTTGGTTGTATAAATAGGAGTGGAATTACTGGGTCATATGGTAATTGGATATTTAACTTTTTGAGCAACTGACAAACTGTTTTCCATATGAGCTACACCATTTTTCATGCCCAGCTGCTGTGTATGATGCTTCCAGTTTCACCACATCCTAACCAATGGTTGTTATTTTCCCTTTTTAAAAAACAACTATCTTACTGGCTATGAGGTGATACCTCATCATGGTATGATTTTGATTTGCATTTCCTTAATGACTAATGATACAGAGTATCTTTTCATATACTTGTTGACTATTTTCATGTCTTTTTTGGAGAAATGTCTGTTTAAGTCTTTGCCTGTTTTAAAGTGATTTGTTTGTCTTTTTGTTGTTGAGTTGTAGGATTGCTTTCTGTATTCTGGATACTAGACCCTTATCAGATACATGATTTACAAGTGTCTTGTCCCTTTTTGTGAGTTTTCTCTTCATTTTCTTGAGAGTGTCTTTTGATGCACATGTTGTAAATTTTGGTGAAATCTAATTTATCATTTGTTTTCTCTTTTGTTTATGGTTTCTTTAGAAACCATTGCCAAATCCAAGGTCATTAAAATTTACCCTTTGTTTTCTTTTTCTTTTTTATTGTGGTAAAATATTCATGACATAAAATTTATCATTTTAACCATTTTCAGTGTATAGTTATGTGGCACTAAATACATTCATATTGTGTGCACCCATGGTCACCACCCATCTCCAGAACTTTTTCATCTCCACCCACTGAAACTCTAACTGTTAAACACTAATTTCCCATTCCTCCCTTCCCTATGCCCCTGGCAACTACCATTCTACTTTCTATTTCTGTGAATTTGACTACTCTGGGTACCTCATATAAGTGGAATCATACAATATTTGTCCCTTTTTGACTAGCTTATTTCACTTAGCATAACATCATCAAGATTCATCTGTGTGGTTGCATGTGTCAGAATTGTCTTCCCTTTTAAAACTGATTATTATTTTTATGTATTTGCCATATTTTTTCTGTTTCAGTATCCATGGGCACTTGGTTTGCTTTGGCCTTTTGGTGATTATGAATAATGATACTGTGAACATGGATATACAAATGTGTGTTCAAGTCCCCACTTTCATTTCTTTTGAGTATATACCCCAAAAATAGAACTGCTGGATCATATGATAATTCCATGTTTAATTTTTTTGAGGAATCGCCCTATTATTTCCCACGGTAGCTGTACTATTTTACATTCCCACCAGTAATACACAAATGTTTGAATTTCTCCACATCCTTGCCCACAGTTGTTATTTTCTGTGCTTTGACAATAGACATCCTAATGACTGATTTGGGTGCCTTTTATTTCATTTTCTTGCCTAATGGCTCTGACTAGACCTTCAAGTACTAGATTGAATAGAAGTGGTAACATAAGTATCCTTGTCTTTTTATGCTTGGGTTCTGGAAAAAGCTAAAAAATAATAATAATAAAATCACACAACACTGTTGTTAACATAAATCATGGTAATATCATTAAATTTGACTACCAAGTCTTCTGGTCTTTATCTTCAGAATACCTCTTATTTCACAGAGAAAGTAGAATAAATCTTTATCACCAATGCATATCTCAGCCAGTAGCTCCAGACACACATCTCTCTTCTTTGATGTTCCTCAGACACTTCAAACTCACGATATCTAACACTAAACACCAGCCTCCCTCAACAGCCCACCCTTCCCCACCTGCCACTCACCATAATTGGCACCATCATCCAACCAGTTCCCAGGAGTTCTTGATTCTTCCCTCACCTTCATACTTATTCAAGTCCTGTAGGTTCTGTTTTCTAAGTAATCTTAGTCTCTCAAACCCACTTCTCTCATTCAACATCAACAGTGCATTAGTTCAGGCTTCTTAGATTATTTCAGCACTCTGAACTATATCCCTACTTCTAATCTTGACATCCTACAATATATTCCCCACATTTCATTGAGGGGTTTTCTAAACTTCAAGTTTACCAATGTTTTCCTGTTTACTTTTATTTTTCTAAGATAAAATTTAATATAATTTGCCCTGTAAAGCACTTTATGATCTGGGCCTTGCTTATGTCTCCACTAATTTCTCAGCACACTCTTGCTTATGTACTATTCCTGGTATACTAAACACCACTCGTTCTGAAAAACCTGATATGCTGCTCACTTCTTGGCCTTTAAATAATACTGTTTTTCTCTCTCCTTTGTTCACTTCCTAGGCCTCAGCTTATATATTATTTCCTCCTGGAAGCCTTCCTTTACTGTAACCAGTTAGACACCCCTGCTACTTATCATAGTGCAGTTACTTTGGCTGTTTACATGTGTGTATCCTCGACACCACCATATACAAGTATCAGAATTTGGTTATATCACTGGTGCTTAGCATAATATCTGACACATAGTATTGCTCAGTAATTAAATGTTGAATAAATAAGATCCACTCATAAAGCAACTGGCAAGATGTTAGAACAATAGAACATGTGAACCAGAAAGGAACTAAACACCTGCCCAGACCTTTGGGATAAATCACTGTTGTTTCATCAGAAGAAATACTTCTTTCCCCATTAGAAATGTATGCCTTCTTCTTGGGCTGATTGCCTCACTTAGGACCACACCTTACTTTGAAATCTGTGTAGTTCACTGTAAGTAAGTGTACATACACAAAGGAGAAAACGAACAACAACAAAAGCTGTACTTAAAAAAAATCTCTTCTTTCCAACTTTGTTTCTCAGCCACCCAGAGGCAGCACCTATTGCCAGTTTTATATATGTTCTTTTAGAATGTTATATATGCAAGAATATAAAGTAGCAGTATCATAGCAAACTGTACATGCTGTTCTACAACTTGTTTTTTTAGTAATTTATCTTGGAGGCTGTTCTATGTTTGTACATATAGTCCTGCCTTATTCTTTTTAATGGCCATATAATATTCCTTTTAGAGAATTTATTATAATTTAGTTAACTAGTACCATATAAATGGACTGTAACAATTTATACTTCCACCAGCAATGTATGAGAGAATTCCTGTTTCTCTAGCCATACCAAATAGTTCATCATAACACTTTTTGTTCTCTGTTTGATGAATGGTATATCATATTTTTAATCTATCTTTTCCTCAGTTTCCCATTGTATTGATGGTATTTTTCTTCTTAACTTACAGGAACTTTTTATATAGTGAGGAAAATTTCTCCTTTGTGATATAGTTGTTAATTAAAATTTTCCCTCATATTTTCTTCTAATGCTTTTATTATTTCATGGTTTTAATCAACTCATCTAGAATTTCTTTATCATATGTATGTAATAGGAATTTTGCTTTTGTCCAGATGGTGCCAACTTTATTTTTGTCCAGATGACTATCCAATTCCAGTAATGTTTATTGAATAAATAATTGTTATCTTTTCTCTAGTAATTTGAACTGTCTTATCATAGTCTCAATTCTTTTATTCATTTCAGTCAATTTTGGGGGCTTGTTCTTTCATTCCATTTCTCTGGTTTTCTGTTCAGGTATTTGTGCTACACTGTTTTAAGTATTACAGCTTCAAAATAGATTGTAAAATCTGGTTGGGCAAATTCCTTCACTACTCATTCAAAATCTTTTCTACTGTTATTCCTTATTTAGCTCATGCCTGTAATCCTAGCACTTTGGGAGTTTGAGTCAGGAGGGTCATTTGAGGCCAGGAGTTTGAGACCAGCCTGGGCAACATAGTAAGACCCCATCTCCGTAAAATTTTTTTAAAAAAATTAGTTGTAGTGGTGGGTGTCTGTAATCCTAGCTACTCTGGAGGCTGAGGTGGGAGGATCACTTGAGCCCAGGAGTTTGAGGTGACAGTGAACTATGATTAGGCCACTGCATTCCAGCCTGGGTGACAGAGCCCAAGACCCTATCTCTAAAAAACAACAAAACATTTTTTTAACCAAACAAATTGTTTGGAGGTATTGTGTAGGGTAATTTTCTCAAGTTAGGCCACACCTGAGGTTTTTGCCTTATGGATTTCTTATGTTCTGTTTATTTGGATAGTATGAGACAGATAAGCCCAAAACTACCTTATGTGGCTTTATAGAACATTCTTTACTAAATACCACCTTTAATGCAACGTATAAGTTCAATGTAGGTTTTTAGGATGGATCTGTTAGAATTATATGCCTGGCACAATGTTTTCCTTGCCCCCTTTGTATTCACATGCCCCTAGTGTGTAGCCATTAGCTTTGATTTTCTTTTACTATTGACAGTCATAATCTGTATAGTCTAACTTTAGTTAATGGGATGTTTTTGGCTTTTCCAGTTTGAGTTGCTAACATGCTTCCAAGTCAAAGGGCTTCTGGAGATTAGCTCTCAGAATAGCTCTGTCCCTTGTAATATCTTCTTTGGAATTTCTTTATTGAAAACTCTTTTCAAATATAGACAATACAAACATAATAAATGGAAGGAAAGGTTCATCTCCCTCATGACTCA